AATGTCCATCAGCTGAGAAGCTTCCTAGGGCTTTGCACCTACTATAGGAGATTCGTGAAGGACTTTTCTTCCATCGCAAGACCCCTTCACAAGCTGACAGAGAGCAACCAAAAGTTCTTGTGGACAAAAGAATGCGACGATGCATTTAACAACTTAAAGGAGGCTTTAACATCTGCTCCAATCCTGACGTATCCTCAGCACGACCGACCATTTATTCTCGACACCGACGCGAGCAATGAAAGTGTCGGTGCTGGTTTTGTCCCAAGAAATAGACGGCCAAGAAGAACGTGTAGTGGAGGGCGTACTGGAGCAAGTGCCTGTCTAAACCGGAGAGGAATTATTGTGTCACCAGGAAAGAGTTGCTCGCCATAGTCAAAGCTGTAGAACAGTTCCATCACTATCTATACGGCAGAAAAAATTCCTGCTCCGCACCGATCATGCATCATTGACCTGGCTTTTAAATTTCAAGAAGAATGCTGAGGGTCAAATAGCCAGGTGGATACAGAGACTCCAAGAATATGACATCACTATCCGTCATCGTAAGGGATCATCACACGGAAACGCCGACGCCCTGTCTAGAAGACCTTGCCAAGAAAACTGTCGATATTGTTCCAGGGTGGAAGCGAAATACGAGCTGCTGACTCCGGTCGCAAGACAAATTACAACATCAACATCGGCTGATCGAGAACCGTAGAGTGATGATGAAGTCAGGAAAGACCAGCTGGAAGACCGCGACATTAAACCCATAATTGATCTAATGGAGTCGTCAAACAGAAAACCTACCTGGCAGGACATTTCTATCTGTAGTCCTACAACCAAACAATATTGGGCACTCTGGGATTCACTTCACATTCGAAACGGCGTCTTATACCGGAAATTCGAATCGGATCATGGGAAGACGTTCCGATGGCAGCTGATACTTCCAAGATCCCGCATTCCTGATGTCCTTAAAGAACTACATAACAGCCCTACGGGAGGTCACTTTGGAATAATGAAGACCTTACAGAGAGTTCGTGAGCGCTTTTACTGGAATAATGCAAAGGATGACGTGCAAAAGTGGTGCCGATCTTGCGATGCCTGTGCAGGTCGGAAAGGACCTAAGAGACGCAGCCGAGGCAAGCTGCAACGTTACAACATAGGGGCGCCTTTTGAACGAATCGCCTTTGACATCCTGGGACCTCTGCCACGAACTGCTGATGGCAACAAATACATACTCGTTGTCGTTGATTACTTCACCAAGTGGCCTGAAGCTTATCCTATTCCTGATCAAGAGGCTGTCACAGTAGCTGAGGTGTAATGATACAGCACTGGATTTCCAGGTTCGGAGTGCCTCTTCAGTTACATTCCGATCAGGGAAGGAATTTTACCTCGGTAGTAATCAAAGAACTATGCAAACTACTCGGCATTGACAAGACCTAAACGACGCCATTACATCCCCAGTCGGACGGCATGGTAGAGAGGTTCAATCGAACCATCCTTAATAACCTCTCATTAGTGGTTTCCAGAAACCAGAAGGACTGGGACAAGAAATTACCACTCTTTTTACTGGCTTACCGCAATGCTGTCCACGAGACTACCGGCTATTCTCCATCACAGATGCTCTTCGGTCGTGACCTTCGTCTGCCTTGTGATCTATTGTTTTGCCGCCCTCCGGATGCTCCTTCATCGTCTGAGGAATATATTCAAGATCTCCAGGCCCGGTTTAAAGTGATGCACAACTTTGCACGAGAGCGAGTCAACTTGGCGACGGAGAAGATGAAGACCCGCTACGACACAAGAGCTACTGAACATCAGTTCCACGAAGGAGACAAGGTGTGGTTGTGGAATCCGACTCGACGGAAAGGATTTTGTCCGAAATTACAGTCACCTTGGGATGGCCCGTACACAGTCCTAAAAAGGCTGAATGACGTCGTGGTTCGGATTCGTAAGTCTTCGAACTCTAAACCTAAAGTCGTTCATTACGACAGGTTAGCTCATTACTATGGCCATAGTACATAATGTAAATAATTGTAAATAGTATAAGACCATGGTCCATTTTGTTTTTAAATGTGTATTTGATTTGATTTGTATTTAGTATTTGATTTGCATTTAGTGTTTGATTTGTATTTGATAGCATTTGATTTGTTTTATTTATTGCATTTATTGTTCATGTTGTTTAATATTGTAATGTAATGCTTATTAATGCATTTATGCCACAGTTGTAAGTTTAGCTTCCTGTCCAGGGATTGTACTGCCCGGGACGTGCAGTCCTTGCGAAGGGGGCAGTGTTACGAATTTGCTATTTAAAAAGCTAATGTTAGTTCAATTATAAATTAAATGGTTTTATTTCTCGCGCAGTGCAGCGCGTGACGAATATTAAAAGAAAGCTAAGCCGGAAAAATTAAAAATACAAGAGCGCGTGCGTTAAATAAATAAATATCTCTTTTTGATTTCGAGAAAGTAGTGGAAAATTCTAGCGCGTGATTTTAAAATCTTATAAAAGGAGGAAAACATCTCAGTTCGTAGTAGTTGCTTGCTTAGTTTGTTGTTGTTTAGAAAACTGCTCTTGTTGATTGTAGCGAATTCGCGGATTTGCGTTCTTTAGCTGTTTTGAATTACGTTCTATTGGATATTTGAGTAGTTAAAAGATAACTACTGTGAGATATTGTAATACTGCATGATAATTTGAGAAAATTTAAGCATTTTTGTTGTGATAATAATAAATTTTTGTTCATTTTTCATCGGACATGTGCATTCATTTCATAACGAACCCGTACGCACGCAACAGTATTAAACGCTGAAGAAGAGCGTGTCAAGTTTGAAGGTTAAAAATTAAAAATATAGAATTTCCAAAATATCGTTATATGAATTAGAGCTAAAGATTAGGACAGGATTTCTGGAGCTTTCTGAAACGATCTTAAACATACGCTGAGAATTTTGTACTACTATGTTATGCGAAGCAAGAATTTTAGCATTGAATTTATAAGATCGAGGAAATCCGTCAACTCTGCAAAATTTTGAAGAAGTTCTGCATCTTTTAATATATAATATTTATTTAATATTTAAGTCCTTAAATAAATGTAAGTAAGCACATCCAACTGATTACTATGAGCTTTAGTATAAACTGATTAGTACGTAAGTTTTGCCATTAACGTATAGTAAATTACATTTTATATGTACCAAAATGTTTTCCAGATGAATTTTTTCTTAATGAATCACATCATAATTTATTAATTAACATAATTATTTAACTTTGTAATCCTAGTTTCTATATCTCTGCACCAAGGGGGACGAAAATGGTCGTTCAAATAAAATATCGCCAAGTAAAGTAGGAAAGTTTGAAAACGTCTACTTTAGGCAAAGTGAGGCTGAAGACTTAAACACTGGCGCTTCGGCAGTGAAGTTTAATTAGATTATTTGTTCGCTGTGACACACAAGGGGTGTCTACCTGAAAAAAGCGATGCCTTACTGGGGGACATTCTCAAGAAATCTGGCTAGTATTTTCATTACACATAGGGAAAGCCACAAAACACGCTCCTTGAAGCAACCCGTTAGCTCGTGTTCGAATCCGGGCCGAACCACCAGTACTCAAATCATTCACTCACTGGTGGGGAACTTCTGCGTAATGATATCGGTAAAGTAATATCCAGCCAGCTAGCGTATATCATTTTTCTCAACTTCTCATATTTGCCTTGCCTACCGTCATGAGATTTTTCCGTGGAATGGAAAGTGACATGACGATGTTGCACAATCAGTTAAAACGAATGTGACATATGTGCTGAAAAGCATCATAGAAAAGTCTTTCACTGTTTGCTGACAGATTTGCAAAAACTCAGTCATGGTGTACATAAGCAGTGAACGGAAACAAATTGAGTTTGTAACTTTGTAGGGTCCACTTGCTTATCATCTAAGTGACAACAGTACGTGTAGCAAGTTCTTGTAGGACAGGAGAAAAATTAAAAGTACGCTTTATTAAACTCTTTAAAATTTACAATACGTCAACTCGACGCTAACACGCTACGCCTTCCTTGAGCGGTAACTCAAATCACAGAATTAAAGTAAAAATTCGAAGATGTTCACAAGTAATGGAACTAAGCTACATTGCTTAGATATTCCTGTTTCTCAACCCTTGACGAAACTATTAGAAGCAAAGTGAATGCAGTTATGCCACTAGCAGTAACTCCGGGAGTAGAAGCTGACGCTAGAGAGGTGACGGCAATAACCTCTCTCTCCAACTTTCCTTCTAAAACCCGGTATTTAAACTTTTTCTCCTTCATGTAGAATCTGTATTCCTTAACGCGCACTACCAAATTCAAATATTCTGGCATTGCTAATTAATGGAATGAAGGCTTACAAGAAAGTTTAAAATTAAACTTTAACTTGTTAGTTAAAATAAATATAAATCCCTACAAGTTATGTTGCATGTAATTTTCTACAACATCGGTCCTGGATATTGATCGAAAGAGAATTTAAATATTTGAGCTGTCCTAGTGAAATTTTAGGCTATAAACTAGTATTTACGAAACAGACTGAAACCCTTACGAAATAAAAATAAAACAAAAATTAATAGCTGTATGTAAAGAAATTTGAGAATGCGAATAACTTTAAATGTGCAACGAAACTTGCAGACAATTTATTTAAAAACCGCAGCTCTTTTTTTTTTTTTTTTTTTTTTTTTTTTTTTTTTTTTTGAGGGAAACGTAACTGCATTCTTTAGAGTACCAATCATTTCCAAGCATACCTCATGACAAGTAACGTTTTTCAGGTTTTCTCTGAAGCTGCTTCAGTACTCACTTCGAATATTACAAAGTTGCCAACAACTTCCACATAGTTTGACGCATCATTAAAGCTTATTATTTATTTTAAATGGTCATTTGTTTTGTATTCTTGCTATTTTAATTCATCTTATTAAAATACCTTGGATGAAACAAGCTCGGTGCTTGAGAATAGGCCTAGAAAATCATTTATTTATACATTGCGACCTTTAAGGAAACAGCTGTTAAAGGATATTTTAATCTTACCTGCTTTAGCGCATCCAGGTGTCAGGCAGAAATCATACTCGGAAGAGATGTTAAGGAGAGATGCTAGGTGCCCTATGTTCACCGACATTTCAGTAGACTGTCCAGAATCTACAGTAGAATATTTCCTTAAACTGTGAATGTGGGTTAAAATATTTATTTACATCTAAATATAAATATAAGAAATATCTAACAAAACCCTAAAGATTAGCTCATCTAGTAAAGAAAAACCACAGAGCAAGTGCTGTATAATTAAGATCATTGCTGTTTCTTTTTTAAACCATGGATGAGCTCATGACTTCAGCAGGTTTCCCCATACTTGACTTTTCTATATTAGCTGTTTCTAAGAAAACTAGTTAGTCTTTCGTTTCATTTGATTTCAAACATTCATTTGAGCTGCCAATGGCTTCTGAAGGTGGATGTCATTCATATGCTATGATATGAAAATGCTGGTGTTAAATATATCAGAAAAATAAAACTTTTAACATAAAAAGTGGAAGATTATGCGATAGATTAAAATGTAAGTAACGCTTTCTTTTCCCATCAAAGTGATTGAAAATATCTGACAAAAATGTAGAGGTGACTGTAGTTAATAGATTTTGTCATGGAATGTGCACGCAAAAAGAGTACTTTAAGGCGCTGTTAAAGACTAGGTAAAATTATTCTGCTAACGTGAATAGTAGTTCCAAATGTAATTTCGAGGAACTTGAAACACTACATGAACGCGAAGCTTGCTGACAAACATTTCAGCTAGGAACTGTGGCAGAGACGAAGCAGATATTAAAGGAATGTTTTGGTTTTGGTTTAGTTGCTTATGGCAAAGCCCACTAGGGCTATCTGTCTAAGGAAAGGGACGCCTTCGCGGAGAACTACCTAAAGGCAGTTAGCTGGTACACATGTTACACGTGGGAGAAACCACAAAAACGCCCTTGAAGCCAGCCCCTTTCGCCTGGAATGGAAACCTGGTAGGAGCGATTCTCGGGTACCTCTACAACGTCCATTTTCCAGTTGCCCGTTAAACTGTTCGCAGTTTCATAGAAAAAATGTATTAACTGCCAGCTTTATCCCACACATATAATGCATATTTACTACATAAAACTCATTTACAGAATTCTATTTAACCCATGTGGTAAGTTTAAACATAAGCTAACTTCCTCCGGGTAAGAACCATGAGACTATGCTTATATGTCATGCTTCATATGTCAGCACGGAAAACTTCAGATGAATTTTTAAAAATACGAATTTTACCTTCTTTGCTACATTCTGGTATCAGACAAATTTCGGATGTAGAGGAAACTTGACGAGGATATATTTAGGGAGCTCACATTTGTTGGCAAGCAAGCATTTGGTCTGGAATCTGGAAAGAAAATAATTTACCGATTTTAGAATTATATAAATACAAATTTACTATTTGCACATATAGGTTAGAAATAGCCTATGCATGCACAAAGACGCTCGCATACACCCAAATATATTATAATATATGCGCACCACCACATGCCTAACCGTTAGTAATATATATATATGTTAATATATATATGTTAGCAATTAATTAGTTCCTTTATTAAAAACACATTCCGTCAAACATTAATTGTTAAATACTTGCTTTATTCAGAAACATTTGCGTCACCATTACTGCTCAAAAACATTACAGTTCAAATTATTATCGTTCTGAAAAAAACTGTTGTTGCCAATCGGGAAAATACATTTTAAATAAAATGAATACTTTGCGTTTACATTCGGGCATCCTGACTTAGTTAAGACTTCGGAACATTAAGAACTTATATTTAAAAAAGTTAAATCTGTAATATTAATATTTATAGTTCGAAAGCCTTTAGCTGTCATATAGATTCACCGTCGTTTTCTATTCTTTTTCCGTGTTCTAGTTTTAGTAATATGCTGCGTGTTGTTATCGTTATCTCCACTAACACTAATGTCATCACCATCATCGTCGTCTTCTTCTGATTCAGCTTGAGACAGCCATGACTTTAATTGGCTCACATGAGCTGTCGTACTAAAGAAATGTCCTTTCACCTTCTCTTCTAATTGAGTCACTCTATAGGTATCACTTGGTAAAACTTCTGTAACTACCAAAGTCCTCGATACTTTTGTTGTGTTTTGGTTGATTCTCCAGTTGATTTAGGTACTCTTCTCATAACTACTATTTTGAAGTATTATTTTGAAGTCATAAATAATATTTTAAACACGGACTTTATGCAAAATTAAGCGCATTATTTTTTAAATAAAATGACAACAAAGTATCGGTTACCATAAACAATCTGTCCAGCAATGGGTTTACCATAAGTCGTATTGCTCGCCGAAATCCGTGCAACCGTCTACCAAAGTAGCACCGAGGGCTTAAATTTTCTCAGTAACAGTTGTTTAACGTGCTTATAGTCGCTAACGTTTTCTTCTGATTCAAGGGCAATTAATTGAGTTATTTCATAAGGCAATAGACCCAAAAGCTGAGAAACCCAGTTTTGTTCTTCTAACCCAATAACCAATGCCTGTCTCTCAAATAAAACTAAATAAAAACTTATATCACCTTCATTCAAATCATACTTACGCATTAATTTACTCATATCACAAATATTACTTCTACTAACATTAGAAGGAATAGAATCATTTACGTTATTACTTCTGATTTCCGCTTCTATTTTCAATTTTTCAAGTTCAAAGGTTCTTTGCTTATCTCTTTCTATAATTTCCATTTCAAAAGCTCTTTGCTTATCTTTTTCTAAAATTTCTAACTTTTCCCAGTCTAAATGATCATTTATAATTCTATCTAGCATTTGTTTAATAAAGTCTTCATTATAATTCTTACTATTCAAAATCATATCTCTTAAGCCTACAATTTTAATATCAGAAGGGACATCTACATAAAGTTCCAAAGCAAGTTCTTTTAAGTCACATTTCTTGCCTCTTGCCAAATAAGCCATCTTAGACTTCAATTTTCAAATAATAATACAATAATTATACTTATGTTCTTTCCGTTTAATACTTAGACATAATATAAACAGTTTATAAATTCACGTACCTTTCTACTTTCAGTTTTGGCGAGCTTCCGCATTCAATTTAGGCTTAGCGTACGTTAAGGCAATACGTTGTTAAATCTAGATAATAATTCTAGTTTATCCCACTTCTGAAATGTTAGCAATTAATTAGTTCCTTTATTAAAAACACATTCCGTCAAACATTAATTGTTAAATACTTGCTTTATTCAGAAACATTAGCGTCAACATTACTGCTCAAAAACATTACAGTTCAAATTATTATCGTTCTGAAAAAAACTGTTGTTGCCAATCGGGAAAATACATTTTAAATAAAATGAATACGTTGCGTTTACATTTGGGCATCCTGACGTAGTTACGACCTCGGAACATTAAGAACTTATATTAAAAAAAATTAAATGTGTAATATTAATGTTTATAGTTCGAAAGTCTTTAGCTGTCATATAGATTCACCGTCGTTTTCTATTCTTTTTCCGTGTCCTAGTTTTAGTAATATGCGACGTGTTGTTATCGTTATCCCCAGTAACGTATTATCGTTCTGAAAAAAACTGTTGTTGCCAATCGGGAAAATATATTTTAAATAAAATTAATACGTTGCGTTTACATATATTTCCAATTAAAAATATTCCAAATAATGGTAAAATTCATGTTTTGGCATTTTCAAATTTAAAGGAAGGAATTCTGCAAAAATTACAGAATCTGAACTTTTTATACGTTTTCTTATGCCCTATATTTATATTTAGGAAAATTGTATGTTCATTATAAAAATTATAAAGCAAAATATCTCACTCCGGTAAGACAAAAAATAGCCGAGATATTTAATTTCAAAATATCGATATTTGATGTTATTTTCATTATGCATTCAGGAATCGGTTAATAAAAAAATTAGAATAATTCAAAGGTTAATTTTTTGCTTTAAATGTTGTTAAATGATATTCTTTTGAACTTTTTTATTTATAATTTTATCATATTTGGTACACTGAAAGACTAGCCACGTGTCATATATAAGTGTACAACATCTAACAATGCGTTAATATTTTAATAGCTGATGTTTTATTACTTTTAAAATAATAATTCGACAATCATAAAAATATTCATAAAAATACATGTACTTTTTATGTTTTTTCAAGGCAATATCGTTACGATTTGACTACGCGCCAACAATTAAGCCTCCCGGTGTTTTCTAGAACACGAATTCTAAAAACTTTTGTGAACAAGATTCCCATTCTGAAAGAAACTAATATTGATATATAAGATATTTCTTCCGCCTTATTATTCCTTCGTGGAGTAATGGTCAGCATATTTGGCGCGTATTCGAGAGGTTCGAGTCCCGGCCAGGGCGCTGTTCATTTCTCACATCTTCTGCTTCCAAAATATCCTAATGTCTCCACAGTGGCGCCCTAACTAAAAAAGGTGGTGAATTATGATTCTTCACCACCAGGATTCGACGACTGAGTCCCCTAATCCCCAGTCGCTCTTAAAAGTGGGAAATATGTAAAATATTTCTCCAGACTTCTTAGCTTGCCTGAGTGGTGTAATTGTCAGTACGTACGCCCTTGCTTCATCAAGTGTCATAAAATGATCCCGTTTACCTATTTTTAAATAGTTTTCATACGGGCTTCTAAAGATTGTTTTTCTTTGGACCACTTAGCAAAAAATGGAGAACATTACGTTTTTTAGCTCTTTTAAATTGCAGACCTTTGTTCTATGTTTACTGTAGCTAGAGAAGTTTTTTAAAGACTGAAATTTGTTTCTGCTGTAGGTGACAATATCCTTTCAGAATGCAAGAAGAAAAGAGAGAGACGCTTCAGGTTTTATTAAGGAATAGCAGAACCTTGATCTTTCCTTCCTGTCCGGGCGTTTCTATCCAATATGATTCGTCATCTCTAATCCTGAAAGAATTTCTATCATAAAATATTTCTGCCGCCTTCGTGCCTTCGTGGTGTAGGGGTTCAGCGCACTGAGACGGTATTTCAAAGGTCTGTGGTTCGATTCCCGGCGAAGGCGGTTGCATATTTTTCATCTTGCCTGCTTCCAAAAAATCCTAATGCCTCAACAGAGGCACCCGAACTAAAAGGGTGTTGGATGAGGTTTCTCCACCCCCGGGATTTGGCGATAGGGTCCCCTGAAACCCCAGTAGCCCTTTAAAAACGGGAGTATAAGGTATTTCTCCAGCTTACCTAGCGTGCCTTCGTGGTGTAGTGGTGTTGCACGGTGGGCCGGTACTCCAGAGGTCCGCGGTTCGATTCCCGGCGAAGGCGTTGGTAATTTTTCATCTTCCCTGCTTCCAAAAATATACCTAATGTCTCTACACTATAATTATTATTATACATACCCGCATGTAGCTATGGTTGTTCGAATTATCATTTCTTAGTCTTGTTCGTTTCTATATCATGTTGTTGGTTCAGCATTTAACGCTAAGACTGTTTATTAAAGAAAGGTTTGTAGCGGTGTACATATTAATTATTTGCGATGCTTCTGTATGAACTCTTAGATATACCACCTAACCTTGGATTCATTAGTGTCTCGTACGTCGCTCTCAGCTCGACGTCCATATTATTTATCTACAGATGATATTTTATGATAAGAAATGCGCAGAGTGAAAAAGATGCTGAAAGTGAAACCTTTGCAAACTCTAAAAAATATTGTATTTTATTATACCCGGCGATTATAAATAAACTTCCCCTATGCACGGCATCCTGCAGAGCAAACGGTTGAACGGACTGCAACGAAATTTTGTGTTTATTTCCTTTAGAAAACATATTTCGAGATCCTATTGTATTTAATCATTATTTTTATTTCAATATTTAGTATCCTATCCTTCAGTGTTAAACACTAGCTTTAAATTTAATATTACACATAAACCGTACTATGAAACACAGAGCAATTTTGCTTTTCGCATTGCACTGTAGTAGAATGTCATATCATTCAGTTGATTCTAATTTTCTGTGTTTATTCTGCGCGTAATATGAGCATCATTCCACGCTCAATATATTTGAGTGAACGTAGAAATTCACTCTTATTATTTATTATTAACTGTGAACGTAGAATTGTTATTATTTATTAGCAGTAAATTATTATTATTCAATGTTGTAATTTGTTGCCCATTGTGATCTTTCGATGAACTTATAAATTCATTGTTATTATTCATTATTAAATGTGAACTTGTTATTATTTATTAACAATGAGCTGTTACCATTCACTGTTATCATTTATTATTAATTGTGAGCTTTGCGTGAACTTAGGAACCCACTATTATTATTTATTTTTAATTATGAACTTATAACTGTTATTATTTATTAATAGTGAACTATTATTATTTACTGATTCTATTCATTATTGTGAACTTAGAACTGCTGTTATTTATTAACACTGAAGCTATTAATTCCTGTTAATATTTATTATTAGATGTGATTTTTGCTTGAGCTTAGAAATTCACTGTTATTATTTTTATTAAACGTGTTTATTTTTTTCCTCCTGTAGAAATTTCGTTATCTGTGTAGCTTTCCTCATTTACAGACAAACACTTCCTTCGGTATGTTTGTTTCACCAAAGTGTTTGGTTTTCGTACGTTTAGTTCTATTTTGAGAAACTTATCATCCATAATTATAATATAACTTTAATTTGGGCTTCTTTACTAAATTATTACGCTTCACTAAATGATGATCACTTCCAATTATCAGAACCACAGTTTCTATAACTTGATAACATCATTTTGTTCAAGAATGCGTTGTAATCCAATTAATATCTTTCCCTTTTCAACACTTGTTATATATCGGCTTCGAAATCGATATATTTTGTTTATCGATGTCATGAATTTAAAGACTTTTAACCTGAAATTCTGAAACCAGTGTTTTAATTCCACATCGTTTCATATCCCATCACATTTTAAAAGTTTCTTTAAATTTTATTATGTTTAAAACGTAAGACTTTATCTTTCTTACTATGATTTCCATAAGGCGTAAAAACGTGCTAAAGAGAATTTATTGTATTCGAGAGGGATCATTTAAAATAAAGAAAATTATCGCTTCGTTTACACATTGCTCGGAAAGTGCTCTTAAAAAAGGAAGTGTCGCGTAATTTCTCCCACAAATTTCATATTCTTTTACTGTTTCACTACATGAAAAGCGATTATTTGAACTACAGTCTCAGATGCCGTGGGAAAAATGCTGTGATGAAAATTGCACATAAAAGGGTTGGCAGCGGCTTTGAAGTGACTATTTTAAAGTAAGAGATTATACAATATGTTTCAAACTTATTAGAAGAAGTGTCATGGCATAATGCTTTTTAAAGAATACATAATTAAATTTCACAATGCCTAAATTATAAAGTTGCATTTTACTATTCTTTGCTATGTTTTCTATATTACATTACAATAGATAACAATTCACATAATTTTTAAAGTCTTACTAATCTCATTTATGATTATGACTTAATATTAGGAGTATTCAAAAATAAAAATAGTTTCAGACAAAAAATATATACTTCCACCCTAACTTATCTCATATAAAGAAAGTAATTTTACTTACATAAATTTTTACTTAAAAGGGATGCTGAGCAAACAAAATTCATTAGAACGTCAATGTTCATTACACGAGACATTTTGAAATTACTACCTGTAGCCTCTTGTTAATAGTACGACTGCTTAAAAACCACTTTTATCTTTTTTTATTGGTTCATATTGAAAATCCTCGGCTATAGACGGGATTAGATTTTGATAATGTGACATTAAAATACTTTTTTCTGTATGTTCATGAGTTCTGAAAGCTGTTACCAAATATGTAAGTACTTTTTATCTATGATTTTAGCAAACAGCGTGTTATTGTTCTGTGCCAACACTGCATTTATTCCACGTATACTTTTCTCGTGTTATTAACGCATTGATTTTGAATGATGTATTTGATGACAAGAAGTCTATTGTTGAGGAAATATGTATCTAAAAAACTGAACAATGTACAGATCTAACACATATATCCCCTGCACTAACGTTTGGTTTGTTTAATTCCATACTGAAGTGCAGGTGCGGCCTAATATAAGATAGTAAAAAAAGTCGTTAATATTTTTCTTGCTTTGTATTGTTTCATACGTATTGTCTATTCATTGGTGATTGATTAACCTTATCTTTATTCGTTCAGGATATAGACAATTGTCAGGACGCAGATGGGAAAAATGGACCAACTGCAACTCACCCAATATGTTACTTTTGTATGGTCAGGATACACGTAACTAAAGGAACTTATCAAATAATCCATTCATTAAATTTTTACAATTTTCCGATTGCTAAGATTGAAAATCGACAAGGATTCGTGCAAATTGCTTGTGTTTATAACATAAAAAAATTTACAATAGCTAGAAGCAGGTCTTCGGTTACTAATGTTTTTCATTGTTCTAGGAATCTTCAAGAAAAATTATCGCACGTTCTTTTATGGCCAAATGCGTAAGTGTGCTGAACGTTGATATATCGAAGTGTTTGATCGAATGATTATTTTTGTGTTTTCTCTAATGCGTCACTTCATTGTGGGTTTTGAATTCTTTCACATTACCGGAGTATTTTCAGTTGCTTCACTGTCTTCTTTCCAACCTGAAATTATTACTATGAAGAATCTAATACAGACATTTATTCTATTTCATCTAATTAATTCAAGATTGAATTATTCCGCTTACAGATTAAGATTGGATTATTTCAACTACAACAAGTGAATCTGATTCATCAATAACGGAGGTTTTATTATTTTTACGGAAGGAAATTGCCGTAATATTTAATCATCTGGTCCCGTGGACGAACAAGACATTCTTTCACCATTTTTTCGCTGTGTCGCTTCCGAAAATAAAGTTCTAGCAAAAGGAAAATTGTGGAGGTTAACCATTTATACTTGAAATAGAATTTAGATGAAGACATGGCCCAGATAACAAAGATGAAGATAAGCCGTAGTTTAATTGGAAGACGAAGACTAATTAAGTTTTAATAATTAATAACTAAGTTTTGAAAAAATAATAATTAAGTTTGTGATTAAGTATTTTAAGTATTAATTAATTTATTTTAAGTATTGAGTAATTAATTATATTAATTGAGTAATTAAGTTTTGAAAATAAAGAAAATTAATAAGAAGATGAAGAAATATCAGTTGATGGTACAATGTTGAAAAAAGGAAATTTTTTCTGTAAATTCACTTTGAAGACATTTTCTTCAAAATGTTTTGTGAGAAGCAGGTAGGCTGATTACTTTACTAAGAGAATAGTAATTTATGGGAGCACGTGTAGCGTATAAACCATATACAGCAATGTGCTGAACCCAAGGCACGCCAAGCGTCGAGAAGTCTAAACTGTAATTTTTCACTTGATGTCACTTTCACTTGACCAGGGGTCTAAAACCGTTTTGTCCATAATAGTATATTCTAGAATATCTGTTGGACATCTGGTACCATTTACTTTTTCAAGGTGAATTTACAGTTGGATAGCTTTAATAATACATGCACATAAAAAAAGAGATCGGTTGCATTTCGCTTTGCGCTGGTATCTGTGTTGGAAGCAATTTCTGTTTCATTAAAAATGAAAACACTTTCACATAGAATTTTATTGAAAAGTAAAACGTTTTTATTGTTGTCGCACGGCAGCGGACGCAAGTTAAACGATCGGTGGGCAGACGGTTGGGAATTTCTGAACTTAGACGCGGTATTGCTTTATTAGATGCTTGCACCATTTACATTAAGTCATCCAGCGACCGACCGAAGAAAGATTCCTGAACGCTTGGTATTCGACCAGGGTTAAAATCGTGAATATGAAAATTTTGTATACCACATGAGCACATTCCCTTTCTGTCTTGTATCTAAAGCAAATAGGTAGCCATAGAACATAGTAGAAAGCAGAAAGCCAGATTTCCATAGAAACTAATCTAGGATGATTTCCCGCCCTAAAGGAAAATAACCATACTGTGGCTTATCATTAATCTAATAAACAAAAGTCCTGTTTACATCTATTGAGTACTTTTTTTACGAAACCTTGAATAAAATTAGCTCCTTCATATTCATAAGCCAAAGACTTAACAGGTAAATAAATTCCTGACCGCATTCCACCTTTCCTGAAATTATGAAATTCCTCCCAAGAGGAAACTCCTTCCTTACTCGTTTATCTAGTACCGAATCTGGTTTATCTGGTACCGTATCTGGTTTATCTGGAACTCCTTCCTTACTGGTTTATCTCATACCGAATTACAAATGCTATCCAAAAAAATAATAACCAGGCAAAAATTAAGTTCACAAAATTAGAAACTATAAAAGTTGCGGGCTAAATAAGCAAAAAATTACAATACAGTTGTAAGATATTTCTCCCGCCTTCTTAGCGTGCCTTCATAGCGTAGTGGTCAGCACGCTCGGCGCGTATTCGAGAGATCCATGGTTCGATTCCCGGCGAAGGCATTGCTCATTTTCCACATCTCCTGCTTTCACAAAATAACTAAGGTCTCTACAGTGGCACCTGAACTAACAAAATGGCGGTGGATGATGATTCTCCGCCACCAGGGTTTGGAGATTAGGTCCCCTAATCCCCAGTCGCGTTTTAAAAGAGGGAGTATATAATGTATTTCTCCCACCTTCTTAGCATGCCTTCGTGGTGTAGCGGTCAGCACCCTCGGGGCATATTCTAGAGCCCCGTGGTTCGAGTCCTGGCGAGGGCATTGCTCATTTTTCATCTCTCCTGCTTCGAAAGAACCTAATGACTCTACAGTGGCGCCCGAACTAAAAGGGTGGTGGATGATGATTCCTCACCCTCAAGATTTGGCGATTGGGTACCCTAATTCCCACTCGCCCTTTAAAAGGGGAAGTATGTAAGGTATTTTTCCCGCCTTCTTATCGTGCCTTCGTAGTGTAGTAATCTGCACGCTAGGCACGTATTCGAAAGGTTCGTGGTTCGATTCCCGGCGAGGACATTGCTCATTTTTCACATCTTCTGCTTTCAAAAAAATACCTATTATCTCTATACAGTGAGTTATTAAATAAACAAGACTAAAAAAACAAGCTTTTATTTTCTTTGATCATTCGTCAAAGAAGAAATCTTATACTTGGCTCTTTTATTTTACCAACCAATTTTTTATACCAACTGTGTTCTTTTATTTTTTTAAATTCTATCAAGTATGATTTTCTTTGTCTAGAATGCATAACATTTGGCTTCGAAGAAAGTTATAAGATTTTGCATTATTTCTCTGAATGAGCATTTCAGGTTATCCTTTAAACATGTTTGACAGATAACCTGAAATGTTAGTGTATGTTAGTTGAATTGTTAGTTAGAAAACGGTAGCTGGTTTTTATGAAACCCGAATAGGAATAACGGTAGCAGGTTAGCAAAACGGTTGTAAATTCATTGGTCCTCAGTTCTGGAAGTGGTGTTTCCTACACTTGCCAGTGAAGCTACTTTAAGTTTTTAAACGATTATTTTGATTTATTTGTAACACCAATGTAACACAGAATCATCCAGTTAATGACTTAAATATTATTCTGCTTCATACGTAAAAGTTCCATTAGACCTTGTACAAAATAAAATGTACCATTTATTGTTTCTCTGCTAGGATAACACATATGTACATCATGATGAATGGTTCATTACGAGAAAGATGTAGCTAATATTTTCGAGCTGTTGATGCCACTTTTTTATTACTAGTGTAGATGATATCTCTCGGTTTTGGATTTTATATGGAACAGACCTCGAGTTTATTGTTTAACGTTTTTTTTTTTTTTTTATATATTTGATGCGTCAATTGCAAGAATAGAATGTCAATCAGCATGATTCATTCGTTAAGTGGTATAAATATATACGTGGTGTAAATTTGGTCGCATCTATATTTATATATAGACAGTTTACATTCTTTAAACTGCGATTTCTCAGTTTGCAATTTTTTAATATATCCTTTTATTTAAAGTCCTAAAACTTGTTCAGATATGGACCAAATTATTTAATAAATTTACTGCTTATTTAAAATTATATATAGTAAATAGAATCAAGGATGGGATTTGAAAAATAGTGAAAGAAAAATTTATTGGAAATAAAAATGTTACTGAAATCATATTTTTTTTAAATTTATATAAAAATGTGCTTTTTATTTTTTTTTCTCAGAAACTAATTCATTAATTGAAAAATCGATCCGTAAAGTTATTAAGAACACTATGAATACAATAAAAAACTTTGAAGCAAAAATATTGAAAATTGGGGAAGAAGAAAGAATTTTTAATTGTTGAATTTTTTAATAAAAAAATTCAAATTAAGCAAAAAATTAAAAGCAAAAATTTTGTTTCAGCTTAAAACCATTTTGTCTCATAAAACCACTTTATATTATTCATAAAAAGTAGATGAAAGCGCTTAAATAAAAAAAATCATTCAAAAGGTACCGAGTCTCCTTAAGAGCTTGCTTTCACTAAGCAATATTGATTACCCTGCGACAGAAACACACATTAGAGGGGCTGTCATGGGTGTTTGTGTTGGAAATGAATTTGACTGCTATATCACACTGCGTGGTCCCATTCAATGACCCATTGCAGGAAATCCTGTATAGACCTGAGGCACCAAAGCTACCGACCGCAGTCGTGCCGACCTTTGGGGAGGTCTGATAATGGAACCGTGTTTTTAATCATATCATCTTCTCAGTGCTAAGAGAACCGCTATGAGAAGAACAACAACA